GATTTCCTGTAAACTTAAAGAGAAAGGTTTTAGCCAGTCTGTTTTGTCTGGTTTTGATACTACCAACAGGCCCACTACCAACATGGCCTTTCATTAATTCGTTCTTTCTAACATAGCTGGCCTGAGAGCAGCCTCAAAACAGGATGAGAGAACCATGATGCAGCTGCTTTGTCCCCAAGAAGAGTAGGGGGAGGATCACACATCCCTGTGGGAGTGTCTTTTGATTGTCTTGCAAGAGGGAGATTTGCAGCATTTTGAGGGAATAGTACAGTAGAGCAAAACACCATCTTCCTGTATCAATTTAATTCAGTTCAGTTTATTTATATAGGGCTAATTCACATCTCAAGGTACTTTAAAGACAACTAATCCGTTCATGCAGTCAGATTGTTAAAATTTTTTGTCTATATTCAAGGTTGAGCAGCCGGACATGGGCCCAAAATATCCTAAATTAATATTATGGATTGCGGCATTACATGGTCGATATGATAAACCTAACCCCAACTGTTTGCATTTGCTCTTTTTCAGGCTGAGGCTATCCATGTGAACCCGTTATATGTGCTCATCCCTACCACACTCTGCATATCCTTTTCCTTCCTGCTGCCAGTGTCGAATCCACCCAATGCTCTTGTTTTCTCCTATGGACACATCACCATAATGGACATGGTAAGTCCTGAAGAAAGAAATATGGAAAGAGCCCCTGGCATTCTATGCACCAAATAGCATTAAGATTATATGAAATGTATTTATTCTTTACTGTGGTTTCTGTTGCAGGTAAAGGCGGGTATTGGTGTCAATGTGATTGGAGTTCTAACGGTCATGATGGGCATAGCGACATGGGGGATTCCCCTCTTTTCTCTTGACACATACCCGGACTGGGCACCAGTTCATCCAGCCTTCAACACCACGATACCTTAATTAAAGGTCCAGCACATTTTTGCTGTGCAAGTGAAGCTGCTCTAAATGATAAGAAGGGAAGTCGTAAATGGTCCTTTATGATTCCATCATTCAGAGCTAGTGAATGTGTATTTTATAGATTTCCTCTGTGTTTGCTTTTTGTCACAGTTTGATATTTTAGAAATAAATTCTAAGGGCTGAAAGCAGAACTTTAAAGGTCAGACAGCAACTAAATCTAAAAATGACATAATAGCAAATCGTCCTCAAGCATCTTGCTGAGTGACAAACTAAGTTTATTTTTTTAAGCAATTAAGCATAAAAATAAAAGTATAAAACAAGCTTTTGAATCATCTCCGTCTGGTGTATTTCTTTGCCTATAACTCTGATCAGGTTTTCTTTTTCTTACTCTATTCTGAGTCACGCTGAAGAGCTCTGCTTTGTAGAGAAACTACACGTACTTTAGAGTGACATGTTTAATATCTTTCTCGAGGGAAGGGCTTGAGGTACCCTAAAAGCAGATTCTGGAAAACCATTTCATTTCCTGTTAAAGAAAAAGCTACTAAAATGTGCCATTATGGTTGGTAAGTTGTTGTGTTACACTTCTGAAATAGACACATAACATTTTGCACCAAAACTGGCTTTATAAATACTTTTGACTTCAGTGGTCCATTTTAAAGCTCAAACCAATGTGGATCTATGCTCTAGTCTTAAGAAAGCCTACGTCCAGTTTGGCAATCAAACAGGAAGTAAACTAGAAGTAATGTTTTGATTTCTTTTTGTAAATCTATCACCCCAATTTTTATTCAGCTTGCTTTTCTGAAACATTTATTTGACCGGTGATTTGCTACCTATGTGTTTTTTCAAGTAAAAACTAAAATTCATAGAAATATGAATAAAATAATAAAGCTCTTTTTGGCTAAGAGCAAAACTCTGCTATAACATTCAAGGCCAAACTGGTCTAATAAAGAACACCCTATGTGGAATTTACTACTACCGTATTTTCACGACTATAAGGCGCATATAAACGTCTTTTTTTCC